TAATCGTTTATTATTTGGCTGAACTAAATTCAGGCTCGTAGTCAGTCTCTGTCCGGTCGAGCAAGCCCTATGTATGATTACGATGGTGATATACTGGAAGAGGATCCTCGATACAAGAAGATGGCACCACCGAAACCCGTCATTCATCGTTGGTCATCAACGGAATGGGAGAATTTCGAAGAGGACAGTAAGTCTCGCAGTCTTACGAGCGCTTCAAAAGACGGTGAAAACAGTCACTTTCGAGGATTTCAAGCATCTCTCCGTACATACGATCGAATAAAAATTTTCCCATTTTATGCGCTTATCCCTAATGACCATCCTCTTCGTCTTATCTGTTAATAGGAACAGCTTTTTCTTCTCAGTCGAATTGCAACTGCATTAATAAATACTTGTAATCAGTCAAAAACAACATATCAAACATCATTCATATCTACTCGTTCAGAGTCATCTTTCTCTTCAATCCAATAATCGTACGAAAAAGCATTCAATTGCTAAATTGCACTTTATTACGGATGTTAGATGAATGCACAATTGCGATAAGCAATCGTAAACGTTGAATGCCCCAAGCGTAATACATCTGAATCTGATCGTGAATGTAGACTAGATTGCAAATTTTCGATGGAGATGAAATTTTTTGACAGCAAATTGTTTTGTTTCATCACTGGAACACTTGATCTGAGCACATCGTGTCGAAATGCGTTGCCACGTTATGATAGGCTCTCTCCATTTATTTGATGGCTTCATAATTAAGTGCTCATTTCCCATCTGACAGTATTCGACTGCATAAAGCTTCCATGACATATCTTTCATTAATCAACATATTTTTTCTTGATTTATGAGAATTGAACACCATCGAAATTTGACAAATCAATCTTCCTCAAACGATCGATTTCTCATTTTAGGAAGTGTTCATTCGGTTCTGAAAAAACATTCGAACTGTTGCTATTGTCTTCAACAAGTATCTCATAAATTTATCATTTGTTCTGGATTTGATGATCAACTTCTGAAATTGTATTTCTCATCTGCGATCAGGCACAGTATTCAGGCGTTTTACGAACATGAAATTTATTAGATCACAGTGATCAATGCAGATATCAGATATTCTTCAGATGTTTCATTTTACTCGCATTCATTCTTCTTANAAATTCCAAAGCAATTCTGCTAACAACATCTGATTTCCTAACTTAAAAAACTCGTTTTTTCACTCTCTTAGTTCTAACTCATATTGCGATTAGCTTATACATCATTTTCCTGCGGAGAGTCGAGCATTGTCAAGTAACTGAATCTTTCAATTGATTTCTTTCGAAGTTGCAACGAAATATTCAATGGCATTGTAAGTTTTCACTCGCATCTCTTTGCACAATGAATGCAGAATAACAATCGGAATCGCGCTTGGATATTGATCGTGGCCTAATACATTCCGCAGACTGGTGAGAGTGGATGAATATTTGATGTTTATTTTTAGGCTGCATGAATACGAAACTACTCACATCAGTAATGTTGTGAAGCGAGTTAGTGCTTACGGCTTCGTAGAAGCGTTCCAATGATTTATAAGCTTAAAGGCGTTTCTAAACCCTTAAATCGAATGAGCGAATAATTGCTGCTGATATATGTGTGCTCATTGCTACTCCCAACACAACTATTTCGTCGTATCTTCCCGATTCATTTCCTTTCCTGTTTGCTTCTCGACAAGCGCAGCCATTCTCTAGAATTTTTCAGACAATGATTGTCTCAATTAGTAAACGATTCCATATGATCATCATTGGAGCTTTCCTAAGTTCCGTTCCGTTTGCGTTCTTTTTGCTCTTGCAGAGATATATGCCCAAGTCTCTTCAGTCCGCTACCAGCTAGCTTTTCTTTGCTTTCCACTAAGCTAGTTGAAAACAAAAGTCTCTCGAAGCGTTTGCGTTGCGAGACTGCAGAACGATTCGATGCGACTCTTCCACAGCAAACTTTTTGCGCAGATCAGATCCCACATTAGAAGACAATTGCAACTGTTTCAGAGAATATTTTGTGCTTCTTCTAACATATCAATTCCGATCAAGTACCTGAAAGCTCACTGATAAGCTTGGATTCACCGTTACGACGAAAGGTTTTCCACCCATAGTGTTGCATCTAGTTCTTCAACAATTAAGCAAAGCTTTTGAAAAATTGAACGATCAATAAAATAATGACGAAGAAACCTGACGATCAATATGACGGTAGACTGATACAGTTTCACTGATTAACATCCTCTTTCAAAACAACGTCTCTCACTGATTGTGAGTGCACTCGAAACGAAGGCGCTGAAGAATAGTTTTGGAAACTTTGGATTAATTAGGCCGTTGAGCATGAAATATATCTAATGAAATTGACTTGAAACGAGCACCTACACACTCACTTAAACTTGATTGGTTAAAAACTTCGGCCGGCATTCAGTTGATTCGTCGATTCACTGAAACAAACAAACCACCATCGCTTCTGCATATTCTGCATCGATCTTTCCCCTCTACGGAACCCATAGTGATTTGTTCATGCTCATATATATGCTGATATGCTTACATGTTTGCTCTCATGTAGTTGCTCTCATCCGTAAATCCATTAACTTGAGATGCTTTTAAGGAGAATTTTATCAATTCCTCATGCAGTATTCATTTTCGCCCCCACCATTCTTTTACATATTATTGCTGTTTTCCAGTCTCATCTCCGATAATATCTCGCATAGTTTTATATCTCTCCAAAGGATTATCGCTTTTTGCGCCCTTAAAACTGCAATGGTGCAATCGCTCGTCGTCATATTACTGCTATGTTAATTACATTCTCTTTCAGAGTCAAAACTTCAAGGAACCACAATGGACCAAGCGAAGATTGACTCCATTGATGGTGAAATGCAGGTATGCGAAAGGAATTTCGATGCGTTCAGCTATCTCAGTTGGATATTCACCCATTCAAAGACCCCAATAAATTGCAAGCCTTGGATATCGAATGCTATTTCATTCATGAATGACAACGGGCATATTGCAAAAATTTGTTGGAAAAAAATTTTTCCAATATGCTCGTTGGAATTATGTTGGAAAAAAATTAGGAAAAAAAAGTGGAAAAAAATTAATCAACCTAATTTGCATCGAATTTTCAAACTTTTCTCACTTAGTCTTCATAATTAAGGCGGATTGTTGAAGAGCGAAAATTCGCATTGCATTTCTTCAACTCAATCATACGGCCTAATCTAGATGCAGCGGAAGAGACATAGAAAATCAAATTTCTGTTCCAAAATTTAGTGGATGAACCGGTCTGCTCCTCTTTCAAGGTGCTTATTTCTTGTTGGTGGAGCTGAAGATAATACGGTGACGTAGTCTGCGAAAGCAAACATTTCGGCGATATTTCTTGTTGCCGTTTAGTAATCAATCTTGCGAAATGCAATGGCTTCGTGTACTTTTCAACATTATTCAAAGTAATGTAATGTTGCGTTTCTGCATATTCCCGTCCGTCATTTGAGTATAGATAAAGCTGGGCGTCTTCAAACTTAGTGCTAAACGTCCTCACTTTCTAAATTTTGACGTCTTGCAATACAGAACCATCAATGGAAATGGCTATCTCTTCTGAGTATGAGAGAGATAAAAATGAAACGTTGGGATCACATTTGCAAACCTTCGACTCTGTCTAGTATCACAAATGTGGAAAATTTCATTCTTTTTATATGTTAACCCTATGAAAGTCGGAGAATATTTCCTCTGATTTTTACTCACAATCAGTCCCATCGCCCTCGAATCTGGAAATTTAGTTGTAAGAGTGGATTTATGATATGTGCAGCTATTGTTAGGTGTTCATGTGCTCTGCAAAAACTGGATGATTATTCAAAATTCCGCTCACATCATTCAGTATGAGGCGCATTATGATCGAAGAGAACAATTTGAGTGTGCCGAGTTGGCTGAAGTCTGCAGTGAGGCTTTTTCAGTTTGTTAAGACTATTGATTGCGTCGAAACGAGCAAGCTTCAACGCAATGCAATTACATTTTTGCATGACAACGTCTCGAATGATTTCATGTATTCACAAGCAAACAAACGAAACAAATCTCTTTACACATGCTTGCTGCATTCGAATTCATCCGAGAGTCGCCCGAAAATGAGTTCAGCATTGTTTTAATGTTCGCAGTGCTTGCAAGAATATCAGTATTCGAATTTTCATCTCGTTACCATACTGGCTTGATTCGGAATATCTAATTTGCATTATTACACTAACTGATACCGTTATGTTTTATTAATGGATTCTACTCATTGACGATTCAGAAGTAATACATCTCATGAATTGCAAAATTTACTTCAATTCTCGTCTTTCCAACGATGCGCTTCCTCGCAAAACTAGCTGTACAATGCAAATGTTTCGCTGTCCAATTTGTACTTTACTATAAAAATCGCATTCTTATGACTAGGTCATTCTGGTTTGAATATCTCAACTCTCATGTTTTCTTTCGTAGATGTTAGCATATCAT